TGCAATTGTTTTGTTTGCTCTGACAATGAGGAAACAAAGGTCCTGAAATCTTTTCCATCCACTGTCTCCATGGCACTCACTGGGCTGCACTAAGACCCTGCTGGCCCATGACCAAGGGCTGTGAGTCTGCCACTCCTCTCTGCCTGGTGAGCAATGATGGCTGAAGCTCTAGCCTCAGAATTGGCACAAAGATAGACTCCAGCCAGAGCCTCCTGTTGGAGATGATTACTCTGGGAGGAGACACAGGTGTGGAGCCTACTGGACATGGACCCACAACCTGAAGGGCTGGAGACACAGGCTGACTCTACAGTTTTGTGGCCTTGAAAGCTTGATACACAGAGCTCCTATTAGCCAGCTTGATCCATGAACTGCTTTCTCTGAAGACTTCACAATCTTTGGAGAATCACAAGAAAGTCAGTGTCTGTCAACTCAATCACTCTGAGCCCTACCCCTTCCAAGGGGAAAGTTCACTTGGCCTGCTCTCATCACATATCCAAAAGGAAGGCCCTTGCTACAAAGTTCAGGCTTATTTTCTCAGCTAAAAATTCAATTGCAATATCGAGTACTAAAACGGCCTCAGTGATGAAATAATATCAGGAATATTGGGATCTTTGTTGTTAACGTTTATCATGCTAAAATCTGACAATCTTTCCATGTTTGAACACTTTGATCTGACCAAGGAGAGCTCCACACTTTTCTTAATGTAAGTCCTTCTAATTCCTGTGGAGTTTAGTCCTTAGTAATATTTTGTTGCTATTTTAAGTTATACCCTTGTTTTATTTATTGCTAAAATTGGCTTATACTGGCATTGTAGAAAATAATTGAATTGTATATTTCCAGTGTCCACCACTCTTTATTCCAGGAGTGTCTCTAGTTGTTTATTTTTAGTGAAAGTCGCTCAGTCGTGTCTAACTCTTTGTGATCTCATGGGCTATACAGTCCATGGAATTCTCCAGGCCAGAATACTGGAGGGGGTAGCCATTCCCTTCTCCAGGGGATCTTCCCTACCCAGGGATCAAATCCAAGTCTTCCACATTGCAGGTGGATTCTTTACCAGCTAAGTCATCAGGGAAGCCCGTTTTTCTTGAGCAGAAGTATATTATCTGAAATTATTTATCATTGTGGTTTTTCACTTTTCATAGTCTATCTCTCCTTGTAACACAATAAAATAGTGATAGAGTGGCAACAAACAAAGAAAAAAAGGCAATTTAAAACTTGGTAAAAAATGTGGATAGACATTTTCAAAATACAATATACAGATTATCAACTGGCACATGAAAAATGCTCAATGTCACTAATTATCAGGGAAATGCCAATCAAAACCACAGAGAGATATCACTTCAGACTTGTCAGAATGGCTATTATCAAAAAGATGAGATATAAATGGTGATGAGGATATGGAGCAAAGGGAACACTCCTCCACTTCTGTTGAGAATAAAATTGGTGCAGCCACTATGGAAAACAGTACAGAGACTCCTCAAAAATTAAAAATAGAATCACTAGCAATTCCACTTCTGGATATGGAAGAAAATGAAAACACTAAGATGAGAAGATATTTGCACCCCTATGTTCATTGTAACATCATTTACAACAAGTTTAGATATGGAAGAAGACTAACTGCCTACCAACAGATGAATGGATAAAGAGACATGGTATATTTATACACACAATAGTGTATTACTCAGCCATGAAAAAGAATTCCATCTTGCAATTTGCAACAATGTGAATGGACCTAGAGGGTATTATGCTAAGTAAAGTAAGTCCAACAGAGAAAGAAAAGTACTGTGTGATTTTACTTATATGTGGAATCTAAAAATCAAAACAAATAAAATAAATATAATTAAATAGAAACAGTCATAGGCAGAGAGAACAAATGGGTGGTTGCCAGAGAGGGAAAGAGGGGAACAAAAATAGGTGAAGACATTAAGAGGTACGAAGTTTTAGTTTACAAAATAAATAAGTCACTGATATAAAATGTACCATGTAGGAAATGTAGTTGATAGCTGTGTTATATCTTCGTATGGTGACAGATGACAACTAGACTTAGCATGATGGTCATTTTGAAATGTATAGAAATATTAAATCATTATATTGTGTACCAGGAACTAACATAGTATTGTAGGTCAATTGTACTTCAAAAAACAAACATACAAACTCATAGAAAAATAAATACAATTGGTGGCTACCAGAGATGGGAGTTGGGGAAGGGAGAATTGGATGAAGGTAGTCAAAAAGTACAAACTCTTAGTTATAAAATTTAGCTACTATAATATAAAGCTACTAGGCACATTGCTATACTTAAAACGGATAACCAACAAGGTTCTACTGTACAGCACAGGAAACTCTGCACAATGATGTGTGGCAGCCTGGATGGGATGGGAGTTTGGGGGAGAATGGATACATGTATATATATGGCTCAGTCCCTTTTCTGTCCATCTGAAACTATTACAACATTGTTAATCAACTATAACCCAATACAAAATAAAAAGTTAAAAAAAAATAAGTTCTAGGGATGTAATGTACAACATGGACAAAGATAATATTGTTATATACTATATATGAAAGTTGATAAAAGAGTAAATTCTAAGAGTTCTCACAATGAAGAGAAGTGTTTTTTTTTTCCTGTTTCTTTAATGTTCTATCTATATGAGATGAAAGTTATTCACTAAACTCATTATGGTCATTGTTTCATGATGTGTTGAAGTCAAATCATGTGTTAAGTCAAACCTTTGATGTATTAAGTCAAACCTTAAACTTATACAATACTGTATGTCAGTTATCTCTCAATAAAACTGGGTTGAGGAGAAAAAGATTGGGTGACTCTCATGTCACCATTGCTAATAGTCTAGTGAAAGTGTTAGACACTCAGTTGTGTCTGACTGCTACCGCATGGGCTGTAGTCTATCAGGTTCCTCTGTACATGGGATTCTCTAGGCAAGAATACTGAAGTGGGTTGCCATTCCCTTCTCCAGGGGATCTTCTCGACCCTGGGATCAAACTCCAGTCTCCTGCATTGCAGGCAGATTCTTTATTTTACTAGTATCTGGGTTCAGTTCAGTTCAGTTCAGTTCAGTTGCTCAGTCGTGTCCGACTCTTTGCAACCCCATGAACTGCTGCACGCCAGGCCTCCCTGTCCATCATCAACTCCCGGAGTTTACCCAACTCATGTCCACTGAATAAGTGATGCCATCCAACCATCTTATCCTCTGTTGTCCCCTTCTCTTGCCCTCAATCTTTCCAAGCATCAGGGTCTTTTCAAATGAGTCAGCTCTTTGCATCAGGTGGCCAAACTATTGGAGTTTCAGCTTCAACATCAGTTCTTCCAATGAACACTCAGAACTGATCTCCTTTAGGATGGACTGGTTGGATCTCCTTGCAGTCCAAGGGACTCTCAAGAGTCTTCTTCAACACCACAGTTCAAAAGCATCAATTCTTTGGTGCTCAGCCTTCTTTACAGTCCAACTCTCACATCCATACATGACTACTGGAAAAGCCATAGCCTTGACTAGATGGACTTTCGTTGACATGCTGTCTACGATGGTCATAACTTTCTTTCCAAGGAGTAAGTGTCTTTTAATTTCATGACTGCAATCACCATCTGCAGTGATTTTGGAACCCCCCAAAATAAAGTCAGCCACTATTTCCACTGTTTCCGCATCTATTTGCCATGAAGTGATGGGACTGGATGCCATGATCTTAGTTTTCTGAATGTAGTATCTGGATATCTGGATTCAAACTAGGCAGTCTAGCCTCAGCTCCAACATTCTTAATCACTAAGATGCAGAATTTTATTCTGTTTGAATCTGTGAGTTAAATACATTTCCAATTTTTTGTATTATCATACAATGCACAATTAATATTGTAGGTTTCCTCATTTACATGTGCAAATGTTCTTCCATAATAGCTAATGAGGGGCTTCCCTGATAGTCCAGTGGTTAACACCTCACCAACATAAAACAAGAAGTAATATTGTAACACATTCATTATTTCTGTGGATGGTTGAAAAGCTTTCTTTTGCTTGCCTAGAAGATGCCAAGTGAAGGTCACCCCCAAATGCTGTCTCAGCCCAGTTGACCCCAGCAGTTCCCTAACCAACCATACATAGCTTGCTTTTCCTAACTGGTACTTCAGAATTTTCTGATCTCTGGAGGCAGTATAGTGTAATGATAAAAACCATGGGTTCTGGATTCAGACATAGTTCCACTACATACTAAATATACAACACTGGCCAGTTTTGAGTTCATTTGTGCTGTTTCACTGTGTGTTATGTGGATAATAAATATCTCTTATCTTTAGACAATAGTCATTCTGACAAGTGTGAAGTGATATCTCATTGTGGTTCAATCCCTACTGCAGGAATTGAGATGTCCTATTTTACACCATGTGGCCAAAAACAAATAAATAAAAATAAGGAAAATTAAAAAAAACCCTCAGCTCAGGACACATGCAAGTCTAATTAAATCAGAATCTTTGACAATGAGACTCAGTTGTCAGTATATTTTAAAATTTATTTTATTGTAGTATAGTTGATTTACAATGTTGGGAAATAGTATTTTTAAGCCTTCCAGATGATTTTGATAAAAGCCAAGGCTGAGAAACAATGACATGCATCCTCATACATAGACTGCATGCACAAAATTAAAACATAGTAATCCGCTGGAAAATAAACAACAGCTTTGGGAAAAATATATATTTAAATCTGTAAAAAGGGAGTTTTTTCATCTTTCTAGAATGTGGATCACCATGATAAACTAGATACTCCTCATTAGGTATAATAAGATTCAGTCAATCAGTAGTTCTAACGTCTACAGAATCCCAGGATACTCTCCCAGCCCCATTAAAAACATATCAAAAGAAGTAATATTCAGGTGTAAAACAAGGAGAGACAAGAAGGCCCTAAGAGCTATAAAAATGATGTCATGAGAGAGATAGAATTTTCAGATGTAAATGTTGCTACATTTTCCAACCTACACTCCAAATGGGTGACACAGATAATGAGACTAGAACATTTTGCTGGAAAACCTCCACATGGTCCTTTTGATGTGTCTGTTCCTCAGACTGTAGATGAAGGGGTTCAGCATGGGGGTGACCACAGTATACATCACTGAGGCCACTGCACCCTTCCTGGGAGATTCTGAGATGGTTGAGTTGAGGTACACACCAAGGCCGGTTCCATAAAATAAACAAACAACTGCCAGATGAGAACCACAGGTGGAGAAGGCTTTATACCTCCTACCTGATGTGATTCTCAGAATGGAGGAAAGAATTTTGTAGTAAGAGAAAAAGATTCCCAAGAAAGGTAGAAAAGCAAAAATGGCACCATCAAAATATGTGACTATGTTATTGGTGAAAGGATCAGAACAGGCAAGCTTGAGGAGCTGAGAAGGCTCACAGAAGAAATTAGAAATGTCAACATTCTCAAAGTAGGTAAGTTGTAGCACAATCAGATTGTGCACCTGGGAGTCCAAAAGGCTAAGAAAAAAAGACACCAAAACTAAGGAGCAGCAGAGGCGAGGGTTCATGATAACCGTGTAGTGTAGTGGGTGACAGATGGCCACAAACCTGTCATAGGCCATCACAGACAGAAGCAGACAATCCATACATCCAAAAAGGATAAAAACAGACATCTGTGTCAGGCAGCCTGCATAGGAGATGACTCTGCTGTGAGTCTGGATGTTCGCAATCATCTTGGGGACCGTGGTGGAGACAAAACCGATGTCAGCCAAGGAGAGGTTGGAGAGGAAGAAGTACATGGGGTTATGGAGGTGGGGGTCAGAAGTGACAACCAAGATGATGAGCAGGTTCCCCAGCATGGTGACCAGGTACATGGCCAGGAACAGGACCCAGAGCAAAGGCTGCAGTTCTGGATCATCTGAGAGGCCCAGGAGGAAGAATTCTGAGACACTGGTTAGATTTCCAGTCCTGTGTAGCTCAGACACCTTTGGAAAAAGAATATATGGCTGGAAAAATAGGAAATATGTTAATGGTCATGTAGTCCTGCATCCATATTTTGGATTCAAGCAATTCATTTCTAAAGAGCAACCCACTCCAGTGTTCTTGTCTGGAGAATTCCATGGATGAGGGAGCCTGGCGGGCTACAGTCTATGGGGCAACAAAGAGTTGAACATGCCTGGGTGACGGAGCACCTTCAGCAATATTTCTCAGTGTGAGAAATTCTGTCTTAGAATTGTTTCCTCATTGGCCTCTATGTTATTCACTTTTGTCTATACACTCTTACATTATAAAACTTCATGAAAAGTGAAAGGAAACATTAGAGATAATACATCCATGATCTCAGTTAAATACAGCCTACTTTTTTAGAAATAACAGAATGAGAGATTCTCTTCTCCTTCTAATAAAATATATAATAATTAAAATATAAAGAAATTATGTCATTATATAAATCTTATTTTTTTTCCAAATACAATTCTAGATATTTCCTTAATTTAGAATATTTACAAATATCTATGAAGTGCAGGACTATGTCATCTGGATTCTCAATTAAAAATGAATCTTCATAATCAGAACACAGTTTATTTGATATTCAGAGTTTTATAATCTTTGATTTTCTGTCTTCCCTCTTTATGAAATGGGGATTACTCAAATACCAGAGTTGTCTTTTAGAAGTCATTTAGTATATACTTCATATCTTTGGTGGAGTTCAAATTTCAATCAATATTATTTAATTAATTGCACATGATGTGCTGGAGTGGCGAGCCCCTGGGAGGAGATAACCCATGTCCAAGGTCAGAAGTGGTGGCTAAGCTTTGCTGGACCAGCCGTGAGGAGATACCTCACATCCAAGGTCAGAGAAACCCCAGTAAGGTGGTAGGCTCTGGAGCAGCTGTGAAGAGATATCCTACGTCCAAGGGCAAAGAAGAAGTCCCAGCAAGACGGTAGGAGGGGCTAATTCGCATTAGGAATCAAACCCCATTCCCGCCAGAGATGCTAAGAGGGCTCAAACAACCTTGTGCGTACCAGGACCCAGACACCCCACAGAGACTGAGACAGAACTGTGTTTGAGCATTTCCAGTGGAGGTATGGGTCAGCAGTGGACTGCCACAGGGACCGGGCTCTGGATGCAGCAGACTTGGGTATGGCATAAACCCTCTTGGAGGAGGTTTCCATTAACCCCACCATAGAGCTGCCAGAACTTACACAGGACTGGGAAATAGATTCTCAGAGAGCACAACAGAACCTTGTGCACTAGGTCCCAGGAGAAAGGAGCAGTGACCCAACAAGAGACTGACCCAGACTTGCCTGTGAGTGTCCAGGAGTCTCTAGCAGAGGTGTGGGTCAGTGGTGGCCTGCTGCAGGGTTGGGGGCACTGAGTGTAGCAGTACGTGCATAGAATCTTTTGAAGGAGGTCATCATTATCTTTATTACCTCCACCATAGTTTGGCCCCAGGTAAATAGCAGTGGGGGGGGGGCACAGCTCCACCCTTCAACAGAATATTGGATTAAGGATTTACTGATCATGGCCCCACCCATCAGAACAAGACCCAGATTGCCCCTCAGTCTGTCTCTCCCATCAGGAAGCTTCCATAAGCCTCTCATCCTTCTCCATCAGAGGGCAGGCAGACTGAAAACCACAATCAAAGAAAACTAACCAATCTAATCACATTGACCATAGCCTTGTCTAACTCAATGAAACTATGAGCCATGTCATGTAGGGCCACCCATGACGGATGGGTCATGGTGGAGAGGTCTGACAAAATGTGGTCCACTGGAGAAGGGAATGGCAAACCACTTCAGTATTCTTGCCTTGAGAACCCCATGAACAATATGAAAGGCAAAAAGATAGGACACTGAAAGATGAACTCCCCAGATTGGTAGCTGCTCAATATGCTGCTGGACATCAGTGGAGAAATAACTCTGAAAAAATGAACAGATGGAGCCAAAGCAAAAACAACATCCAGTTGTGGATGTGACTGGTGATGGAAGCAAGGTCTGATGCTGTAAAGAGCAATACTGTATAGGAACTTGGAATGTCAGGTCCATGAATCAAGGCAAATTGCAAGTGGTCAAACAGGAGATGGCAAGAGTGAACATCAACATTCTAGGAATCAGTGAACTAAAAAAGGACTGGAATGGGTGAATTTAACTCAGATGACCACAAAAGAGTCTGAAATGCAGTACTTGGATGCATTCTCAAAAATGACAGATGATCTCTGTTCATTTCCAAGGCAAACCATTCAAGATCATGGTAATCCAAGTCTATGACCTGACCAGTAATGCTGAAGAAGCAGAAGTTGAACAGTTCTGTGAAGACCTCAGTCAGTCAGTTCAGTCGCTCAGTCGTGTCCGACTCTTTGTGACCCCATGAATTGCAGCATGCCCGGCCTCCCTGTCTATTACCAGCTCCTGGAGTTTGCTCAGACTGATGCCCGAGTCGGTGATGCCATCCAGCCATCTCATCCTCTGTCGTCCCCTTCTCCTCTTGCCCCCAATCCCTCCCAGCATCAGGGTCTTTTCCAATGATTCAACTCTTCTCATGAGGTGGCCAAAGTATTGGAGTTTCAACTTCAGCATCAGTCCTTCTAATGAACACCCAGGACTGATCTCCTTTAGGATGGACTGGTTGGATCTCCTTGCAGTCCAAGGGACTCTCAAGAGTCTTCTCCAACACCACAGTTCAAAAGCATCAATTCTTTGGCACTCAGCTTTCTTCACAGTCCAACTGTCACATCCATACACGACCACTGGAAAAACCATAGCCTTGACTAGACGGACCTTTGTTGGCAAAGCAATGTCTCTGCTTTTTAATAGGCTATCTAGGTTGGTCATAACTTTCCTTCCAAGGAGTAAGTGTTTTTTAATTTCATGGCTGCAGTCACCATCATCAGTGATTTTGGAGCCCCCCAAAAATAAAGTCTGACACTGTTTCCACTATCTCCCCATCTATTTCCCATGAGGTGATGGGACCAGATGCCATCATCTTCGTTTTCTGAATGTTAAGCTTTAAGCTAACTTTTTCACTCTCCTCTTTCACTTTCATCAAGAGGCTCTTTAGTTCCCCTTCACTTTCTGCCAAAAGGTTGGTGTTGTCTGCGTATCTGAGGTTATTGATATTTCTCCTGGCAATCTTGGTTCCAGCTTGTGCTTCCTCCAGCCCAGCATTTCTCATGATGTACTCTGCATATAAGTTAAAAAAGCGGGGGGACAATATACAGCCTTGATGTACTCCTTTCCCTATTTTGAACCAATCTGTTCTTCCATGAAGACTTACAAGACCTTTTAGGACTAACAGCCAAAAAAGATGTCCCTTTAATTATAGGGGACTAGAATGCAAAAGTAGGAAGTCAGAAACACCTGAAGAAACAGGCAAAATTGGCCTTGGAGTACAGAATGAAGCAGGGCAAAGGCTAACATAATTTTGCCAAGAGAACACACTGGTCATAAGAAACACCCTCTTCCAACAACACAAGAGCAGACTCTACACAAGGACATCACCAGATTGATTATATTCTTTGCCGCCAAAGATGAAGAAGCTCTATACAGTCAGCAAAAACAAGACCAGGAGCTGGCTGTGGCTCAGACCATGAACTCCTTATTGCCAAATTCAGACTTAAATGGAAGAAAGTAGGGAAAACCACTAGACCATTCAGGTATGACTTAAATCCCTTATGATTATACAGTGGAAGTGAGAAATAGATTTCAGGGACTAGACCTGATAGAGTGCCTGATTAACTGTGAACCGAGTTTCGTGACATTGTACAGGAGACAGAGATCAAGACCATCCCTAAGAAAAGGAAATGCAAAAAAGTGAAATGGCTGTCTGAGGAGGCCTTACAAAGCTGTGAAAAGAACAGAAGCGAAAAGCAAAGGAGAAAAAGAAAGATACACCCATTTGAATGCAGAGTTCCAAAGAATAGCAAGGAGAGATGAGAAAGTCTTCCTCAGTGATCAGTGCAAAGAACTAGAGGAAAACAATAGAATGGGAAAGACTAGAGATCTCTTCAAGAAAATTAGAGATACCAAGGGAACTTTTCATGCAATGGGCACAATAAAGAACAGAAATGGTATGGAACTAAAAGAAGCAGAAGATATTAAGAAGAGGTGGCAAGAATACACAGAAGAACTGCACAAAAAAGATCTTTATGACCCAGATAATCACAATGGTATGATCACTCACCTAGAGCCAAATATCCTGGAATGTGAAGTTAAGTGGGTTTTATGAAGCATCACTATGAACAAAGCTAGTTGAGGTGATGGAATTCCAGTTGAGTTATTTCAAATCCTAAAAGATGATGCTGTGAAAGTGTTGCACTCAATATACCAGGAAATTTGGAAAACTCAGCAGTGGCCACAGGACTGGAAAAGGTCAGTTTTCATTCCAATCCCTAAGAAAGGCAAAGCCAGAGAATGCTCCAAGTACTGTACAATTGCACTCATGTCACATGCTAGTAAAGTAATGCTCAAAATTCTCTAAGCAAGGCTTCAACAATATGTGTACTGGGAACTTCCAGATATTCAAGCTGGTTTTAGAAAAGGCAGTGGAACTAGAAATCAAATTGCCAACATCCGCTGGATCACTGAAAAAGCAAGAGTTCCAGAAAACGTCTATTTCTCCTTTATCGACTATGCCAAAGCCTTTGAACTTGTGAATCACAGTAAACTGTGGAAAATTCTGAGAGAGATGGGTATTCTGGACCACCTGACCTGCCTCTTGAGTAACCTGTATGCA